CTCCAGCGCACACTTAAGGCAAGTGGTGCTGCTGGAATGGCTCCTCAGCGCCGTCGTTCTTCATCAGGGACCCTATTTGGGAGGATGACTCAAGTAAGTAGAACTGCTTATTTAAATGGGTTAAGGATCAGTTTAGATAAATTCCTCCATATAAACTCTTACAAGAGAAGAAAATAAGAAAAAAATGAAATAAACTCTTCATAAGCTAAAATTTGTGTAAGTTAAAAAATAAATTTTTGGAGGAACTAAAATAAGAATTTCTATAAATTAACTTAAGCATAAGTTAATTTTAATTTTTGGATAAAGTTGTTTTATTTTTCCTTCTTATTTTCTTTCCTTATAAATTCTTATGAAGAAATTTATCCAAATAGATTCTAGAAACTTTCATTCTTCAGATAAGTCTTTTTTATTGCTATCATTTCAGAGTTTCCGTGGAGCTCCACCGGGAGTCAATGTTTCACTAATCAGTGGTAGCGTAAGCGGTGGTGTAGATACATTAAGACACGTTGAAGCCAAGTACCCAGCTCTCCTTTTCAAACAGCAGCTTACGGCTTATGTGGAAAAGATATATGGAATGATTCGAGATAACTTGAAGAAAGAAATTTCTCCCTTGCTTGGATTATGCATCCAGGTATAACAATTTCTTTATTACGCTCCTGTAAGCTTCTATGTATTGATCTACCATGTAAATTTAGTAAGCTTTTCCTTTGCTGCATTGCCTTTTAAATTCACTGATTCAATATGTACTGTTTGAACATGATGAGAAAGGCGCCCAGAACATCCAGAGCGAGCTTGGTTAAGGGATCATCACGTTCAGTTGCAAACACTGAATCCCAGAAAGCTTTGATTGCTCACTGGCAAGGGATAGTTAAGAGCCTTGGGAACTTCTTAAATACATTGAAAGAAAATCATGTTAGTATAACCACGTTTGACTTAAGGGTTTTTTTTTTTTTTTAATTTTTTTTTATGCTTACTCATAGCAAATTTTGCTGGCAATGCTAGTTCTTTCTCTTCACAAAATTATTTGAATCTGTCATATTAATTACATGACTATAATGAAATCTCATGCTTCTATTGAAGTTCAATAGAATTACATGACCTCCTTTTTGTCTCCAAAATTAAATATAATTTTTCTTTTTCTATTTTCAAATATTATAAAGTTGGTTTGTGTTAATAATTAAAATAAGGAGGCTAGTGTATATAGGGAGGGCTACATGGTTTTGTGAAACCTCAGGGAGGTTTATGTATTTTATCTTCCATTATTTTTGTTTTCATTTTTTCTTAGGTGAGTTGTTATTCATGTATTATTTAGTGTTGTTGGAATAAAATGTTTGTTCTGGTTAATCCCTTTTCTTCTTGACAGGTTCCCCCATTTTTGGTTCGTAAGGTGTTCACCCAAATGTTTTCTTTCATCAATGTCCAACTTTTCAATAGGTTAGTTTGTTCTACTTTCGTTGTTTGGGGTTGTTTTCTGTTCTGGAAATCAAAACTCTAATATTTATAGTCTCACACCTTTTTTCTTCCTGTAGTCTTCTTCTAAGACGGGAGTGCTGCTCATTTAGTAATGGAGAATTTGTGAAAGCTGGTTTGGCTGAATTGGAGGATTGGTGTTATAAGGCCACAGATGAGGTGCATTACTTCACTGCTGTTATAATTCACAATTCTTTCAATAAGGTATAAATGCTAACCCCACCCCTCTCCCTTCTCTCTTGGGGAAAAAAATGCAGTACGCTGGTTCAGCTTGGGATGAGCTCAAACATATAAGACAGGCTATTGGATTTTTGGTATCTATCTATCCTTCTGCATGGTACTTGTTCTACGGATCAAATAGTAAAATATTAAAAACTGATCTTCCCTGTCCATAATCTAGGTCATACATCAGAAACCAAAGAAAACGCTGGATGAAATAAGTCATGACCTGTGCCCAGTAAGTGATAGCGATCTTTTACTTGTAACTTAAAATTTCACTTTCCCCACTACCAAACTTTGTCAATTCGCTATTCACAGGTCCTCAGTATACAGCAGCTATATCGGATTAGCACCATGTACTGGGATGACAAGTATGGCACACATAGCGTATCCCCTGATGTAAGTCTTTACACTAACTAAACTATATTTAAAATCATATATGCCAGAAAGCTATGATAACTTCCTATCGAAGACGTGCAGAAAAACTATGTTTAGCTTTGCCTTATCAATGTTTTCAACTAGGTCATATCCAATATGAGAGTGATGATGACCGAAGATTCAAATAGTGCAGTTAGTAATTCTTTCCTGTTGGATGATGATTCAAGGTAAGCCGGATATTGTTCAACCATGAAATAAGAATTGCTCAAGTTTTCATCTTGATTTTTATACGCTCATTAATAATTCATTTGACTCATTCAATCAGTTCCATGACCAAATAATTCTCGGCCTCCTATTAAAATGATACTTGATTAAGGAAAGTCGAGTCTTATAAGTACAAATTAATCTTTAATTATCAATTTTTAGAACTTTGTGTAAATTATATCCATTAGAAAAAAAAAGAAATAAAAGTAAAGCTATGACTATATACAAAATATGACAACTGAAATGTCGGGAGAGAGAGAGAGAGGCTAAATTACTATGTTTCTGAATTTAACTACTAACTTGTGGCTGCACATTGATCGGAGAGAAGCCATAGGTGTATTTTGAGCTGAATATAATTTCGATTTTAGTGGATATGGTAGAATAAGACCAAACTCTATTATATTTTACAGGCTCCTAGTTGTTATTACTTATTATATTTAATACTTTTGACCTTGTCATTAACCATTTGGAAGCGTCTACTTTGCAGCATTCCGTTTTCTGTTGATGACATATCGAAGTCGAAGGAACAGATAGATATCTCTGATGTAGACCCCCCACCACTAATACGTGAAAACTCTGGCTTTAGTTTCTTGTTGCCACGCCCAGACTGACAGCTCTCGTAGCAGAATTCACCGAATGGTACACTTAGATTCTTTTTTTTTTTTTGGTATACATATTCAGTTAGATTTTATTATGGGGAAACTGGTTTTTTATTATTATTATTTTTGTGCTTTGGTTACAACAGAAAGAATATTGTATTTAGCATACGAAATTTATTACTTAGTAGTTTGAAAAGGGGATGATATAGTGCAGATCTTGCGGGGCGGAACTAACTTATAGGAGGGAGTCAAAAGCATACAAGTCTTTTTCCATGAAAGTTTCCCCATTTCCTTTTATTTTCCAAATTTGTCACTCGTTGGCACCTTATTTTTCTTAGGATAAGATTTTGTACCTAGAAGCATAGGATTTTCACCAAATTACAGGAATGAATGATGATTTCCCATGCTCCACTGTGTGTCAACATAGTACGTTATGTATAGACTTTTTTTTTTTATAAAAAAAATATTAACTTACATTTTAATTTTAATTTATCACTATAGGATTGTATTTTAAGCGATTACTGTGAAACAAAATGAAATTTGATATATTCTCTTGATAATAAAAAATGAACAAGGGCCCTGATTAGTTCATACATTATAACGACCATTTCATTTCATATATTTTTTTAAAATTTCCATTTAGCCTTTTACATTTATTTTCATTTAGTCTTTGTGTGAAAAATCAATTACTATAATATTTAATATAAGTGAAAAATAAGGTGATAAATAACTTAAAAAATGAAAACAAAACCAAGAATTAAAATTTAAATGTTCAAAGGATTATCGTGATGCATAGATACAATCTCATTAAAAAAAATTTGTTGCTGATTTACAAAGCCTCTTGATTTTATAAATTTTAATCAATTATAAGAATATATTTTTAAAATGTGTTGGTATATTTTAAAAAAATTTACCGTATTGCTATTCAATTTGAGTAATATTCTTACAATCACGTTTGCTTGAAACATAAAAACAGCCATTTTCAAAATATAGCATTTAAAATCCTTTTGTATCTCCTCACCAGTTACCCCCATAAGAGATTGGGGCTTTATACTAGCATTCATCCTAAAAGTTCCAGAAGATCCCGAACCTGCAGCACTACTTTGTGACGTTACCAGTCTCAGACAAAGAATCAGCAACATAAACGAAGATAGAAACGGTAAGTCGGGGCCTGCCTAAGCAAAAACTAAGATAGGAATGACGGATTGAAGTTTTTCTGACTTTAGTGAAACAGACTTGGCTTTATGGGTGACTTGCCATAATTGAATGAGAAATGTTATGATTGCACTCTTTTTAATCGGTTAAAATTTATTAAAACTCAAAAAATTGTAGTTAAAATTCATTACAATTATAAATAAATTAAAAAAAAACTGCAAATCCCGCATCTTATTTATAGAACCTCTATTATTATAATTTCATAGTTTTCAAGAAATTCAAAGATGATGAAATTCATTTCTGAATTGTCGACACAGGATAATTACAGCAGAAGGGCGTACATGATGATGAGGAAATTTGCACTCTACTTGATGAACGGTTTTACCTTTCGATGGCAATTCACAAACCACGTATGATGTCATCTCAGTGCAAATTTTACGAATTTATATTCGTAGTTGTACCAACATGTTATATTTTCGAATACATAAACAACGTTATTTTTCTAGAAAATACACAATTCCTGAAAACAAACGTTGAAAGGCTTCAAGTGGTACTGATGTAGAAACAAAACTATCACCTCTCACAACGAAGGTATTTTACTTGAGTAAAGGACATCAGTTTTCAATGTATGAAATTCATATAAAGTTGCAGTTGGCAAACAAAATTAGATTCAAATATCCAATTCTTCTTTTAAAAACAGAACCAAACAAAAAGGCATAAAAATAAGAGTCTTGCGTCTACATCTTTTGAACTGTGTGTTTGGATTTGCGTTTGAAAAATTGATTTACCAAAATCAATTTCGTGGACGCACAAGCCATTTTTTTCAGCTTCAGCCAAAATCAATTTTCACCCTTAAAATCATGTGATGAAAAAAAAACCCAAACATTTATTCAACAGGAAGAATCACGTTTTTGCACAAAAATACGAGAGTCTAGATCTCCAATCGCGTATCCAAACACGCTAGAAATATGCAGCTAACCTGTCGCGACTGTATCAGGCTGCAATTCATTTCTTCTACAAAATGACTTAAGAAGCTAAATTTTCAGTGTTTTGATAAAACAACACCCTCTAAGCATGTATGACACCACTGTATCTACAAGAGAAATGAAGATCCTCCTATGGCTAGACATTAAAACAGAACAAAGAAGCTAAACGCTTAAATTTCATTATATCCAGATGAGGAACAAAATCGAAAAAACCAAATGCATCTGGATTGAAAAACGACATGTTTTCCCTTGTTTCATGTTGTCATGACACCTGAGGACGCATGTGGCCAAGCTGGTAGAAAGTAAGGAACTACTTTGCTAGATTCCCATGAAATGGTGCCTCCACGACCCTGATAATTAACAGTTTCCACCGTTTTGGTCTCCAAATCATACAGCAAAATGTTCCACCCTGACCTAATGAAGATAGATGTAGAATTTTGAGGAAGGAATGACAGTATCTGGGTTTCTTTAGCATGCGAACTTAAAGATGGCATCTGCTTCCATAATACTTTAAAATATAATCTCCACCTCAGTATCCACTTGTACTTCATATGAGTACAGTTGCAGTAAATGGATGAGTTGGTTCCTGGTTCCTTCTGAAGTATCCATATCTCTAGACCCAAGTTATTGCTCTGACCATACTGTAAAAGCCCATCAGATGACTCTCCAAGAACCGATTCCTCATGCTCATGTGATAACACACCTCTTGGTAATCTAATTAAAGCTATATACCTGTCTCCAAGACGAGGATCATAAATGGCAAGTTTTCCCCAGATTGCAAACCAGTGTACAACCCCTCCGACCACCATAGCGGCCGTCCTTGGGCGCAATGCAAAAGATGTGGAGCACATTAGAGTGGATTGCTTCCATTGTCCAGTTTTTGATGAGAAAGTCTCAATTGAAACAGTTTTTCGTTCCTTAAGTTTGCATTCACATCTTGCCCGGATCACCTTGTAGCACAAGTCACCATCAAGATATTCCTCAACAATCAATGCCATGCACAGAATTTTATAAAACTGCTGAGGCTCTGGGAGTTGATACTTTTGCTTGGTCACAGTATTGTACACATAATATGTCTTAGGGTGGAAACCAGAAAGAATTATCCCCTTGGAACTATCAATGAAGTACCCAAGATGTTTGAGGATTCCAGAAAGTTTCAAATCATCACCCTCTTTACAAGTGGACAAGATCGGGAGGGCAGGTTCCCAACGAGGGCGGCGGTATCCATCCCGAGGTCTTCCAAGATATAAAAAGTTGCATACGAAAAAACCCAAAAGTCGAAAACTTTGCCCCCATTTACTCAAGTAACATCGACGAAATGAAGGACTGCATATTACCCGCAGCCATCTTTTTGATACAATAATTAATTTGGAGATTGTTGATGGTGGTAGCCGAATTAGGATCTCATGCAGGATGTCATCACTGTTAAGTGCGCCAGGATACCCACTATTGCGTTTCATCCTATCAACTTTTGTCAGGCCAGTTATATCCTGCTAAGCATAAGCTACTTAACTACATCCTCACAAGAACCTAAAACAAATACAGGCATCTCTTAACTTATAATTGGGTACATAACAAGTTCATTCAGATAACATAATAAATAAATAAACTAACCCCATTTCCGCCACTGGTCTAGATTTTGCAACTGTAATGTCAAACTGAAACCCATTTATTCAGGGTTTCAGACATCAGAGGCAAAACTCGAATACAATGTACATGAATACCTGGTCAAGTCTATACGATGGTTTTTCATATGAATTAACATCATTTTCTTTTTCATGAAAACAGACCTGAATTATTTATGCTATTCCACACCGTTCTTATACTTTTCTGATGATGCTATTAACACACAATTTGCAACAGACATAGTTCCTAATCACAAGTTTTTTTTTTTAGCTTCTTTGATGAAACATACATGCGTTTGGTTAAAAGATTTGAACAATAAATTTACCTTTTCAGCAAAGAAATAAAATCTAAAACAGATACAAGACAGAATGGGATAAATGCATGCAAACACTGAATCAAATTTATCAGAAACAAGAACGGAAATGGATTCACTCACTCTTCAAATTTGGGGATTCAACGGTGAGTGCGTCCGGTGCTTGTCGATTGATCAAGCCAAACACACAAAGAACGAGTTTTGATTTTATAATCATGTTTTATGGTTGGGCTTTCACTATACTGATACTGGGTTGGGTTAAATTGTGGATCTGCCATGCAAGGCTCACTCGAGTAGACAATAGAATTGGCCCAACTCTTGTTTCATATTTTGGGCCACACTTCAAGGTAATATGGTCAACACAACTTCTGACCCAAACGTAGGAAGATGAGATTTTATTAACACCATTTTTTTTTCACTATGCATTTTTCTATTTTATTTTTTTATTCTGAAAAATATTTTTTGAAATACAAAAATTAATTTTGAAAAATAAATTTCTGGCATACCAGAAGAATATCGCAGGGTGTGAAGACAAAAAAAGGAATACAAAGAGAATTCCGTTGTAAGCTTACATTATTATTATCAATAGTGAAAAAAAAAATACTAGGTGACTCCATTAAAAAAGAGAGAAAATAAATTTATTTTGATAGTTTGTATGATTATTGATATAGATTAGTACAAATATAAATATAAATATAAAATAACAAAAGGAAGGATAAAATAGAGAAGATAAAAATGAACACCAAATGAAAGAATCTTTTTATTATTAATATAAATATTTGATCGATTAAACAATATTTTTACTATAAATATTTCCTTTGTTTATATTTACTTTACTATTCTTTTAATAAAAAAGAAAAACAATCTTAGTAATGTTGTATAGGATTATAATGAGTAAAGAAACTTTTTCTTTGAGTATAAATTCTTAATTTTTTTGTATCACTTTTATTTTTATGTTTCCTTTTAGTAATTATATTCTTTTAAGGGGCCCAATGCTTCAATTCTGTCGCTCCCACTATAATTTAGCAGAATCATATTCAATGGCTAATAGAATATACCTTTCTATTTATTTTCCAATTAAGAACAACAACTAAATTATCCTTATCATCAATATATCACTTTTTTTTTTTTTTATCGTTCTTTGTATTTTCCCCCAATGGGATCCCAATACATTTAATTCTAATTCTAGTTTAAACCAGTAAAGGTTGATATATATATTTTTAATCTATTAAATTTATGAATAAATTTGTTTTTATTTCACAAATTTGAAATTTTATTTTTTACTTTCAAAAAAAAAATAAATATATATATATATATATAGATATTATAGTCTTTTTTGTTCAAACATTACTAATAAACCTATCTTACAAAATTCATTTACTAATTTTGGTTAATAAAAATATCATATAATTGAGAGACTAAAATATCTTTTTCTTCTAAATTACAGAAACTAAAAATTTAAATGAAATTGGTGTAATTTTTAATAATTATTATATTATTTAATAATCTTTAATTAAATGATTTTTTTTTTCAAAACTCATTGAAAGTTTCTTTTTCCTAAATTATATATACAAAAAATTATATTAATCTAAAATATTTGATACCTCATTCATATTAATCCAAATTGACATAATGTATACATTTCAAGATAAGTAAAAATATGAATAATTTGATTACCTTCAAATTGTTGTTTAATTTTAACAAAAATTGACATAAATATACAAGATGATAAAAAGTTATAATTCAAATATTAGATCGATAAATTCACACCTAATATAAAATTATTAAGTGGTATAATAATTAATAAAAGTTAGTAAAAAATATTTAAAAAATAATTTAAGAAAAAAGATAAACTTGTCTAAATTTAAATAATTAAAAACATTTAATATTGTACCTGTCTGAGGGGCACACTAGTAATTTTCTCGTACTCTGAGAGTCGAACGAGAGCTCCAATCGAATATTCCGGTGAGGGGGAGGTACCTGCAAAAGGCACTCCGATGCTCAAGTCAGGATAAGCACAGATATCGATGGTAATTAATGAACAATGACGTTACCTTGTGACATGAACTATTTATACTGACATTTATGAGCCCTGACTTCCCTGGACCTTGTGGCAGGATTACTGTATTAAGTAATACGCTTCTAATCGGCTTATTGGTGTGATTAACTCTTAACCCTTGATTAAAGATAATCCTTAATCATTGACTAAGGATTATATGTATTTATGGAGCATTCGGTGGTCGATCAGTTGTCGACTACCTGGTTCGGCCTTCCAGGTGCCGATCGAGTGTCAATCACCTGGTGGCCGAATGGTCTTACCAGTACAAATATAATTAATGAAATAACATGATATTCCTTTGAAATTGATCATTCTATTATTAATGATATATCGTATAATAATTTACAAATATGTGTGAAAAACACATGGAATTTATGTATAATAAACTAGTGAAATAATAGGATATTTTTATGTGGAAGTGGAATTTATCTAACTTCTCAACTAGGAATAGGATGCTGAATTTGTTTGTCTACAACCTATTCCTCACAAATTACTAGCATTTTCATGGCAAATAATTCCAGATGGGTTTCATCAAAAGCAAATTTGTTAACAAACGTGTGCGTTTTTTTGCGATAAAAATGATGGGGATTTCAGCTCATTTATTTATTCAGTGCAGGGTGCAGCTGTGTTAACACTGTTTAGGGTTTAGGGTGCGTTAATTTTTTAAAATGATTTTTATTACATTTTATTCTTTAAAATGAGAAAATTTCACTTTTAGAATAGCTACATGCTTTTAGAATATATCATATACAAAATAAAACTCGTTATATTCTTCTCGTCTAGCACATGAGAAGCTTTAAATTTGAGGTTAGCAATTTATAAGTTTCAGGTAACCTGTAATTTTGAAGTTAATTTATCAAATACAACCATGGTTTCTATATTTTCACTTTTCTTAATGAAATGAAAATATACATTACTATTTTTTATTCTATATCTCGGTAGAACCAGCAATTTAGCCACCGAGTGGCACCACTTGATACCTGGTCAAACAGACCTTGTGCAGTGCCATCATAACAATAACCTGCACAGCACGTTCAAGGAGCTAATTAAGAAAAAATGTTCATTTGCTTACTTTCTTAAAAGAAAAAAAAAACTCTCAACTGTAAAAGAAAATCCAAAATAAACTGACTCATTGCATTAAATGAAAATTAAATAGTCCTCAACAAAACTAATCATTCTTTATGAATCATAATTGTGTTTGATTACGACAAATCAATGAAGTGAACGAACTCAAAAAGCTCTCAATAAGTGAATAACACCTAAAAATCATTTTTACCTTCCAAAAGAAGCAACTATACGTTGCTTTGCTTTGCGTTCACTATAAAAAAAAAAACAATTGATTATTTTTCACCACGTATTCAATCCAGACACTGTAACTGTGTATAGCTATTTTATGAATCCATGTGTGATTTAAATAGAACAAGGTCATCTGTTGAAAGAATAACTATAATATTACAACAGGAACTCAGCAAAATACATTGTTAGAAGATAGACAAAAATTCCTTAAATACATTTCCCACTAGAACTAGAACAATGTTACAATGTAATGAGTAAAAAGGAAGGAAATATGGACCATAGTTTACATCACTTGGTACTGTCACAATCAACATAAGAAACACGAGGCATTACTTCGAGCAACATCGCGCTCATCAAAGCCTTTAAGAAATGATCGGATAGCAAGATGCTCAGAAGCGTATGTCATGAAAGAAGCCAATATTATGCCCCCAACAACCATCAAACCTAACCTGTTAAAAATAGAAATGTAAATGTAACTTCAAGCAAATATTTGATATCAACGCTGATCTTTTAAAACAACACATTTTATTTTGTTTGGTTGAAGAGAAAATGATAAGAGAAAAGTTTACTTTTAGAAATAAAAATTCAAAAAAAAATCATCTTCTCTTCAATGCGAAATTTTCTTTTCTCTGAAACATACAGTGGGTTAATATAGACTTTTGACATTATCATAGACAATGATAACAAAGACTTGCCATTGAAAACAAAGCTGCTTTTTGAAGAAAAAAAAATATAAGTATTTTAACTAGACTTGCCATAACATGTTAGAACACAAATTACCTAGCAAACAAGGCAGTTATTCCAAAAAGACAAGGCAAAGATGGAGCTGCAATGGCCAACAAGGCCATCCCTAAACCATAGTACCATGTGGCAACATCACAAGATGGCATCTGTCGTTGATGAACTGTAAATACAGATAAAATATAAATTAAAAAAATAAAAAGGATCTCAGTATTAAAATTAAATGAAAAACAGAACCATAAAGACGCTTTACTCTTGAGAACATACGTTTTTCTGAATCATGATCAGATGATTCAGGATGTGACAAGGAGGATGCTACTCGTGATCCCACTATTTTTCCCCACTGATAAACCAAACGGATATAGCCTCCAAATAATATAAAGAAAATTGTGAATGTCCATTCATACATCAAAAGCAATCCAGTCCATGGCATCACTTGCCGAGGAACAATCAAGAGAGCAAGTCCCAGAGACACCACTGCAACCATAAAACAGACGCAGACAGAAACACCACCCAAATAAGAAGGAACCTTGTACTGAGCACCATTTATGAGCTGTTAGACACCACAGAAACAAATCTTAGTATGTTGAAAATACATAATCTAAGCATTAAATACATCCAACTAGAGGATGTGCATCCTCTCATTTGAAGCCGTAACATGACCAGGTCATTTGATGATAGAATATAGATAATCACATAGACAACTTCCTGTGCAGTGTGGGACTCGGTATTAGGGATTTTAGGAAGCCCCACATGCAGTGTATTGTGTTTGTCTTCCATCAAATGATTTCGTCATGCAAGGTCCAAATCCCCAACTTGAAGACAGAAGAGAAAACCAACCTGATGGATTGAATTGGTTGTTGCTGTTGAAATACTAGTATATGCAAGTGGCCCATTTGATCTAATCCTATAATAAAGATGTTTGACTTGATCAAATAGTGAGCTTCTACAAGATGAACTGAAGTACCCTTGATTCTGCAAAAAATAGTATGCTATAACACTTACTAAAGCCCATTAGCTTAATGTTAAGAGATTGGACAAGAATATCAATCCATGATAGCTGACCTTTGTAAATAAATGATAGCAGAAGAACAGTAAGGCACAGAAAGGTAGCAGAAAGAGAAATTTCACAAGAAAACTGTCTTTAGGATTTTGGCCCCCTCCTGTTCCAGGAAGGGATTCCTCAAGCTGTTCCCTTACATCCTAAAGCATCCAACCAAGGTTAGAACAAACAAGTCAGCAAATTTTTGTAACAAGCTTCAACTGGGCAGACGTGATTACTTAGACAAATGTGGTCTTTACAAATATGAAGAAAAGAACAATTTTTATGATATTATTAACGGACCAAAAAAGGATAATTAGTTGCAAACATACCTGCCAGACATCAACAGGTTTCAAAAGCCAAGACGTCCACCAGTCCCAAGGCTTAAGGGGGCCCAGTGTATAGTGAATCACACGGAGTTCATTCTCATCAACCATCCACTGGATAGATCAACATGAATAGTTACAATGCTAGATAACAGAATTGAAAGATACAATACATATGAATGCTCAGAGACAAATACATATATTTGGTATGTGAATGTGAATGAGTTGTATTAAATATTCTACATAATACTTGTTATTCAGGGTAGGTTCCCTAAAACAGGACAGAATGAAACAAAAATCCTAACAAGAACCTGAGGTACGGATTTCTAATTCTAAATGAAATAATTTTCATACACCTATCACTAAATATAAAAATCAGCGATAACATTTCAGAATTGATGGAAAGCAAAAGTTTCTAAAGGACCTTACATGCCCAAAAACAAAGCTTCTAACAATAACTAAACCAAAATGAAAATGCCAAGATGACGGTGAATCTTAAGCTTTCTCGGGTCATCACCTTGGCTCATTAATAAGCTCAGATTAACAAGTGCAATTTCCAACTGCTATGTGTGTGTTTGGTTTTCCATTGGGAAAGAGCCTGATGTACATTTGACCGCAAACAACTAGTCATTACTTTTTCATTTGCATCTTGGGAATTTGTGCTAATGGAAAACCAAACTACTAAAACTACCACATTGCCAATAGTGAATTTTTAACCCTATAGCAGCACAAAATAAATCCTTTGTCAACATTTATGTAGGTCACTTGATACCAAAATTTATTCCAATGATCACAAAGAATATCAGTTGAAAGACAGTACATGTAAAACAATTAAACAAATCACATCATATGTATTGAACAATATTACAATAATTAAACATCATATACATGAAAGTGTAGGACTCTTTCAGACAAGCTAATCATAGATTTGTAAAAATGACCAAACCTGGTATGAGCTCCATCTCAAGTGAACTCAAATGAGAAGATCCAGCATAATTAAGTTAAAATGGGGAATATATCTCTCATGTCTCACTAACTCTAATTACTTAAAAGGAAAATACTATCCTCTCATTACCTATATTCTAGTACCTTGTTAGCAAGCATGTAAAGACCGACATCAGCATTATACAGTGTTGATAGTCGCTCCATTTCAGGAACGGGTCTGGATCTCAACACCTCTGAGGACAAATTTGGCTCAAAGACGTGTGCATTGGGAAATTCAGAGTAATATGAATTGAGAAATCCTTGATCGCCTGTCAAAGGGAGAAAGATAGATAAAGACCATTGTTAAAAAGCTATCAGGTTTAAATCGGCATCTAGCATATATGGTCCTTAAAAAAATAAAAATAAAAAAATTCTATAGAACAAAGTAATAGAATACATAACTACCCAAAAATTATTTTACCTCCAGTGTAAGATGCGGTAGTTTTTATTTTGCTCATCATGTCATTAAAAAGAGTTTCAGATGGCTCCACCACCATGACTCCCGAATTCAACCTCTCGGAATGCTTTAAATTTGCGCAGAATTTTCCACACTTGAAAAGATCATCAATATTTTTAACCACAATAGTGTCCGCATCTAGGTAAACAACTGCATATTCACATTCAACACATAAACAAATAAACCACACATTGCACAACTTATAAGAGAGAGCTTAAAACCCAAAACCTAAACTGTCTCCTCCAGTTTCACTTGATTCAAAAACAACTAACAACTACCGGGGAAATAAAAGGAAAAAGTTTAACTAAATGGCACAACATAGTAACTACTCACATTTCAAACACAGGAATTTAACTAGAATGCAGGATTTTATACACTGTCATTCAATCATAAATTGTTCCCGTGACAGAATACTCCTTAGCAATGAAAAACACAAATTGTCATTTATAATAAGTTTGTTGACTAATATAATAATAAATTTAAATCATACTAAAAAGATGATTTTTTATTAATTGACTGCGTAAAAGTCTTTATCCAGCGAGTGTATGACAATTAAACTCATAACCAAAATAGGAATTTTGAAATTCAATTCTTATTTCTACAACCATATGATGCATACACAAAAGACCAAAAGCAAAAAAAATGTTACCTTTCTTGTAGTCAGTCATGTTAAATATTTTGAGCTTTGTGTAGACACCCCAAAACCTCTTTGGACGCACTCGATTAGGATTAGCCAGTAAACTAATCATCTCCACTATCCACCCGTCAGCCTTCACAAAATTCAAACATAAATCCACCAAATAAACGGTTAAAAAACTCACAAACCACACAAAACTCGGGTGTCAACAGAAGGATAAAGTTCAAAATTTCAAATTTTGAGGAAGTCCCATTAAAAAAAGAAGATGATGATTACTCGGAGAAGGGATTTGGCATAATCAGAGACACCATCGGAGACCAAGACAACCATGTCCTTGTTGGATCCCGTGTTCCGAATTGATTTGCCGAGAACTCGAACGCCCAACAAGAACTCATCTCCGTACAAAAGAGTGACATATGCCTCGTCCGTTCTCTTGGTCTTGGATCCCACACTCCCTTCAAATTGAACACATAATAAAACTAGACAAAGTATCGAACATAACCAGAGTGTAACACCATTTGGTTTCATTATAACTCGATTCCGATTCTCCAGCCCCTCTTTGTTTTCGTTGGACTCTGACTTGGAATTTATAGTGGCAGCTTAATTAAAGGTTGGAACTTCGAAGTTGAATTCTTTTCTACGTGGTCTCTGACCAGAACTCTGGTGGTCTTCTCTGGCTGCGTGCTTGCGATTTGTGATCCACTGCAGTCAGTTCCACGGGAAAACGCTACCTCCTCTGTCATTTTTGGGGAATCCAAGAATAAATTGAAACAATTCTACGAAAGCCTTTTTTTTTTTTTTTCCCTGTTGTTTAACCCTTTGTTTGTTTGAAATTGGGTATGAGAAGAAATTTGACAAATATTTTTAAATTGATATAACTATTTAATATTTATAATCTACTTTATATTACAAATAAGAGTCTTAATTAAAGGAAAATAATTTTAATGATAATAAAAATAAGAATAATTTTAGAAACTACTTCATCTTCGTTAAACTACATATTATTTTTATATATTATTAAGCATTGAAAAATATTATGTGTCTTTGTAAAAAAAATTAAAACAGAACACAAAATTAAGGTATGAGACTTGAACTTTAAATAATTTATTTAAAAAACATAAATCATTATTATTTATTCAATTAATGTAAAATTCAAAATACTAATTGTTATATTCTTAATCGGTCCTTATTTGAATTTCATTTTTACAACTCAAATTTTGACATACTTTATTAATAAATAAAAAAATTATGTGTCATGATTTTCTACTCAATTTTAAAAGTCACGTGTCTTTAATTGAATTATTTTTAACATAATAAAATTGTCAATATTAGTAACACACACAAAAAATGTAATCTCTTTAATTTATTTTATTTATATATTTTGTCTAAGTCTAAAAGCATTCAAACAATATATACACTTATTAGTCCATATTAAATTTAAATATAAACCTTGTAAAATTTATCTCATTCAAATCTTCCATTATAAGTTTGAATATGTATCTATTTATTTTAAATAGCAAAATCTCTTTGTTTATTTATTTTTTTTCGTCCCTGTAGTATCCACCGTCGATAGTAGTGACTAATCTCTTCACTACGTTAGAAACACCTCAAAGAGTGGGATAGTTGGCCCCAAGATTTGTTTATTCTAACATATACTTTGTAATCTTTTATATCAAATCATTTCCATGTTTTCTTTATCATTAGTTGTCCGATCAATAATTTAGTTTTATTAAAATCTTAATGAATATTAAAATTTATTCTAAGATAAAATAATGATATTTCAATTTAAGATAGAAAAAAAAAATCTAAATTTAGAGTAATTACAAAAGACTTATCTCATAAAACAAATGAGTGAGTTTAAACTTATAATTTGTAAGATGTAAAATATTATCTTATTTCATTCCAACCTTTAGGACTTCCAGCTTTATATTTTAACATATTTGTCTTATTAACTAAATTTTTGGGTTTGATAATTTGATCTAATTCTCTAAACAATGATTAGGAACTTATTTGAACTTACAAGAGTAACTTATCACCGTTCAACAAGTTAAATTTATTTGAATTGTTTAAAAAATTACTTTTTTGGTGGAATTATAAAAAATGGGTATAAAATCATTTATAGTAATTACTTTATGTTTAAATTAACCAATTGTGAAGAGTAAAATAAAAAATAAGTTAACTATAAAATAACTTGATAACTTATAATCATAAACCCTAGATTTTTTTTCAAAAAATAACTATTTATCTTTTTCAAAAAATCCCAATAAAAATCAGAAGAAGAAAAAAATCAATTCTTCAAAATATATTGAATTAGAACATGGACGCAAAACTAATTCGCCTTTTTTATTGTGGACAATTTATAAGGAGATTGTGGTTTAGAGACTTGTGGAGGAATCTTAGCTGTAGCCATATTTTGATCCTGGTCATACCTACAAAAACATGGATATTTGTTGCTCTTAATTTAAGATTAATTATTTAGATGAACCAAGAATACTTATAAATACATTTTCTTCTGTTTTCCTGGCACATGGAGAGCATGTTTAGGAAAGATCATTTTTCTATAAATAATAATTCGTTTTCAAAAGCTCTTTCCAAAAATTCATAAAATTAATCAATTATTTCTTTAAAACAAGCTGAGCTAAAACCTTTTGTCATATAAACAATAAATTGACTTGAAAACAATTAGTGCCTCCTGTGGCAAATAAAAGCCGTGACAAATAATACTCACCTGTGACTTTGATTATACAAGAACAGATAGTAAGGTTAAATAGGACTAAGATTCCATCTCCTACGCAATTAGCCAACCCCTTTCGATCGACTTTGACCCTTCACAAGCTCTCTTGGAAGCATTCAGATACGTTCTCTACAGAAAATTTAACAAATATCTAAAGCAGATCTATCAAACTCAACTATTTCAGAACGTGAATCATACACAATGGCAGGACCTCTCTCATACCAACATTCTAAACAAAAACCGGAGTGAACAGAAAAAATTTAGCCCTTAGGTAAGTGAATGTTTCAGATCTGCAGGACCATTTCAAAGATTTTTTCGCCCTAATTGCCAAGTTAACTGATCAGCAGCTGCCATAGCACGAGATGCCGGACCAATGGAACCTTCATACCTGTGAAACTAAAAGATAAGCATACAGAGAAAGAGAGAAAAGTGCATCCGTAGTCCATGATAAACATGATGAATTTGAAGTATATACTTACAGAGCAACTAAGATATATGCTGCTGTTTGTATAACAATAGCACCTTCACCAGCAGGCTTTGATGTGTTTATACACCTTGCACTAAACCAGTTCTCATGAATTGACGTGACCAAGTCTGCCATCCAATTTTCCATTAGTAAAGTATAAGAAGATAAACTTCAATGCACCATGGCAGTAGATAAAGTTACACAGCAGAAAAAGTGTAATGAGCAAAAGACGTGCATCATCATCTCATCACATATAGAATAACATGAATTTCCAAATATATATCTGCAATCCAGGACATGATAAATTTGATAACCATTTTGTTTTATTTTTTTAAAAATAATAATAATTTAATTACAAGTTATTTTTAAACACATTCACCAATCCAAAATCGCATGATATTCACCGCCAAATTAATTAACCAGCCCGCTGAATAGTACAAATTCAAAGAGCAGCTAATTCAGATTAATAATGTTCAGTATAACTAATTTATTTGGTTCTTCACCATGAACTCGATGAGCATTATAGAATTCAGTATTCACCAAGGGTTTGTTTGGGAGGTGGGTTTAAGGAGGGATAGGAAAGGATTTCCTTGATAGGGAAATTTTTAAAAAGGGGAAAAAGGTTTGGGTTTTTTTCAAAAGCCTTCCACAACCATCCTGCACAACTCGAGTAACGGGTTGTAAAAAAAAGTATCAATTTAAACCTCAAGAATGTCTATCCAAATGCTGCAGCTCCCAATTAAACATGCTGCTGTCAGTGATTTACATCATTGATTGGCTGACCCTGTTTTGGTACTGCAAATCTGAGTATTCCTTGAATATCATTTTGTCGTTTGTTCCCAAGAAGGTGAAGGAAACTGGTACTTTGAATCTCGCTTGTTCTGAGTGTTGAATTCCGGGGACTAACAGAAACACCTTTCGAGAATAATGTGTACTTTCTGAACTTTGTATGCATGTTTCTGATTTTCTTCTCTCTGCAATGCATTTACATGAAAATGAACGGCTTTGATAGTGGTGGTGGTGTTATACAAATTTAGCCATTGGTGGTGATTTATTTTTGTAAAATCATAAGTGTCTGTGTATGTTAGAACTGTGTGGTAAAATGTGTTTTGGATGTGGTTGCCTTGAAGCATAGATCTACTTTTGCCATTTCTTCTTCTTAGGATTTTAATATCATATTTGTTGATTTATATTATATTTGGTCATTAGCCATTTGTTTCCTTCTCCAATTGAAACATCCATCCCCCATGTGTCCCACAATTACAGGGATTAGGCTCAGCAGATGCATCAGCGAGCGGCATTATATGAGTCCACGTATGAACACACACCTTGTGTGTTATTTACGATCTCCTAAAAATAATAGTAATGGAAACTTCCAACAAACACGCATTTTATTCACAGAGAACCAAATATACTCGAGCAATAAGTATAATTCCTTATCATAAATCTCCTCAGGCTCAACTAACCCCTTAAACCACTAAAAGATAGCAGCATAAAGTTCATAACTATACATGTAGGAGTAGAAAGCAGTTTATTATCCCTCACCAGTTATTGAACCATAGCCCAAATCTCCAAGAGTCTTAAACTTCTATAAACTAGATATGTGGGAGAATCCATAATATAATATATTTTTCAGTTCAGAAATTTCAAATGTACTTATCGTAGAGGGCATGAAAAAGTAAGTCAAAAAACAGAAAGCACCAAATAATTATTTAGGAAAACTAATACAGCTGTGTTTAAGCTTACACTGATTGGACCCAATAACGAAGAGCTCTGTCTGGAGTTTATTTTGTTTGACAAAGTCCACAAAGTGACTCAATTCAATGGGATTAGCTTTTATTCCTTCTTGTTCGGCACTGCCAACATCAAATAGTTCAATTGATAAAATATTTCTAGAAATAACATTAAGAAAATTCCAAAAATGAAATATAAGTGCGACAAAAAGGCCAGCATGAAGTTTACCAGGCACTGTATGCAATTTTTGAGAAACAAATACTAAAACTTCTTCAACCACTGATAGTATTAAAAAATAAAAAGAGATTTTGAAACAACAAACACAGAACAACAAACTCTTTTTTGTTTAGATAAAAAAACAATGTAACAATACAGCTTCTTCTGAACAGCTTTGCTGAACAGATACAGTAACATAACACCTTGGCACCTTGCTTAATAGGGGTAGCTTTGGGCACTTGATGGAGAATTCAATCAAATATGTTTCGAATGATAATAGTGGCCCTAGTGTTGTTGTTTCAAGTAGCAGGAGCAAAAACAAGAACAAAATCTTATCCCATTAGAAGGTGTGCCCTTAGAGCATAACTTAAAAATCTAATACTCCATCCAAAAGAGCTAGTATCAGTGAATTTACTATCATCATAAATCGGTACTGTCATGGAACCCTAGGACAAATAGTTCACATTTACATTGTTTATCGATTTTCACATATTTTTTCATCGTATTAAAAAAATAGCAGATAAAAATAAACCTGAAATTCATAAGAAGAATCTTCTTACATGGTAGATAACAATCGAGATGGTCCAGTGGGATCATAATTAATCAGCAAAGCAGCTTTTAACGGATGACCTAGGAGATACGAGGATCAGATAAATGTCACCAATTTTTTTATAATATTTATAAATTAATTTTTGAAACGGTGATATTAACATATGTATGCATGTCAGCGTCGGCTCAAAGCAAAATCTCGCTCACCAGAATAACCAATGTTTGTAGAAGCCCACTTATCCCATGTTTTATGCACAAAACCCCAATCCATTGCGCTGCGTCTGATAAGAAAATGAAAAAGGTAGCGAGTGCTAAGCCTAAGAGAAATGATTGATTGTAGGTGAAACAGTACACTGCCTTTTAGCATTGAGCATTAATGGGAAATTTCTGCCAAGTTTATATGTTTCATGAAATTGCTATAGCTCTGCTAGAATTCTTCTTTGACTATATTAATGGCAAAGCAAAATCTCTAGCATATGCTTAAAGAAAAAGATAAAGGTACCAAAGTCAATATTGCTGATAGGTGACATATTATATATAAGACTAATATTTAACTATTAGCATATATTCATTTATTTGACATATCTATGACTAATCATTTCACTGTGCATTTAACCTGTTTCACTAAATTAACATCAAATAACAAGACTTTTTTACTAAATTAACATGCAGGATCAAAATCAATCCATTCCACTCTCATAAATATATAAAAACTAGACTATTAATTTGTTCCTCTGATATATATATATGTAAGTATTAACAATTATGATTTATTTATGGGTAACTTGTGTTTTAATTCCTAAATTTACTGATTATAATAAATATGAGGATCAAAGTCATTATTTTTTAAAGTATAGGACTAAGACCAATTTTGACTGAAATTTGAGGGACCTATAACATAGATTTCTCTCTATTTATTTATAATAGTTATTGAAACTTTTTTATATTTGATGCATTGTAATGTTAATCTTCAAGGTTGAACCTTATTGATTTCTTTTTCTATTTTTTTTTACCTCAAGTTAGTATATCTTCTCTCTATCAGATTTTTCCAATTTTGCACAGCTGCTACATCACTATACTGCTATCAATGATGTCACAAAAATTGAGCATTGAATTTAGTGTTTTTTCATGAAGATGGCGCTCATATCATAGAATTTCATGTTTATTTGAAATCTCAAGGGTAATGTACAATATGCATTTTCAATTCTAATACAAAAATATCAAAGATTGGCACATAAGATGAAGAAGAACAAAAGCCTTGTCCTGTTAAATGAAATCATTTACATAAATCACATCAGGCCATTCCGCTACATGCATGCAAGATGAACATGACAATAATTCATAATTTGGCAATTGTATAGACACGGGAAGAGAAAGAGCATATAATGATTTTATTTAATTAAAGTATCAAAAAGCAACCAACATCAATTTGCAGCAGAGATAAAAGTTGGGGAAAAAAGATGAAGCTGCCCAAGGTAACAACTTATAATAACTCTCTTCTGCCTTGAAAAATACCTATCATGAACCTATTTTTGTATAGCAGAAATATACAATACCTTTGATAATTCTGCTGCAAAATCTGCCCCAAGTAAATTTTTGGCTATATCAGGTGAAATCACCCTACCAAACCATATAATGCACCGGAAGCCATCATCATATATATAAAGGCCCCTAGAGTCTAAGCTCTCTCCAGTCAAAGGTAACCTTCTTTCAACACTTTTTAAGTCATCAGCCGGTACAAATGCCTGGAACAAAAGGAAATAATTCATGCATCTGAAAGTTTAACCATATTATTGGTAAGTTTCAGGCAAAGCAATGTATACCTTCAGTAGATAAAAATCTTTACAAAATATGGAATTCTATATGCAGTTTTTAGTCTGCATATATGCTAATTATTAACTGTTCTATAAAACAAAATTAAGCAAATATAAAGTTCAAGTAGAAATCCACCTGATAAATGCAGCACAAATGATCTAATCAACTGTCTCTAGAATTGCAGTAACGAATCCACTACAGTTTAGATGATTGAAATTTGACCTGACAAAGAAAATAACTCTAATCTCAATCTTCATTGATAAGGTAAGGAAGCTCTACAGCTCCAACTCTGTTCCTACTAGCATATATAGCAGAAAAATAATATCAATCCTTCCTTATACAATATTCAATGCTGTAATTTAACCATTGTTTATTTGCTTAAACGTAAATGTAATAATTGTGAGCATCTAAGATGCCATGTATTCCACCGAAATAATCTTGGTATAGATTTAATTATTGAACATGAATCTAGAGATTTCTGTAAATGCAATTTATTTAGTGAAATGTGGTCTACCACTTGCAGTCACTGTTCAATAACAGTAATATCTATATATATAGAACATTTATAAACCCAAATCAATAGCAAATTCAACAACGAATTCAATAAAAATTCAAAATGGAACCCTAATTTGAAAGAGAGAAAAAATGAACCTGAGTAAAGGGAGAAATCAAGAATACCGCACAAGAGGGAGAAAGCAAGGATCATAAGCGAGAGGCAAAGCAAGGATCATGAGCAAGAGAATCGCAAGAAAGTAAGCTTAGATCACGAGAATCGCAAGAAAGGAACATTACGAGAGAAGAGCGTCACGAGAGAGAGACTCCAAGCATCACGAGAGCGAGTGAGCACGAGCATTGCGTGCGAGAGAGTGAGAGGGTGTGAGCCAGAGTTTGAGAGCGTGTGTGCGTTCGCGAATGACCGAGCGTGAGCAGAGAAATTTCAAATTCTCCACTTTTTTACGGAATTTCAAATTCTACAAATTTAATTAATTAAAATACTCCATAAAAATAACAGAATTTAAATTTCTTTTTAAATCATTTATCCAAACAAATCATTTAATTGTAAAGTATTTAAAAAATTTTAACCCTATCCAAACACAATATAAGAGAAATGACGATGACTCGTAAATCTCAAAACCTGGATGCAGGACGAAGCGGAGAGTGAGTCACAGTCACAACTGAAAACGTTGCGACGTTCTGTAAGATAACAAAACAAGGAAGAAAATGTCTTTAAGTTCCGTTATATGAACTATGAACTATGAACTTCGAAGGACTTAAAAATGAGTAACTCTAAATTGTTCGAGACTAAATTATCCATATTAAATTCGTAAATTTTTACCAATGATATAAAAATACTGAATTGAATTTTTTTTACTGGTATCTATAATATGTAACTATTATAAAGGTGATTTTTTTTATGTATACAATTTCGTGTATTAATTTATATTTTAAAGAAATTGGCATTACAAAAGTACAAATTACCTACTCTTTACAAGTTTCAATTAATTATCCCCTTTTATTTTTTATTTTTTAAAAATAAGGAGGCACTCCCGTAGTAAATACATAATATTTATTATTTCCTTTTAGATGAAAGATGATGTATACATATTTATTCATTTATTAAATATTTTATTTTCTTGATTATATAAATTTAATATTTATATTGATATTTATAAAGATTATAATATTATATTTTTATTTAATCTAGTTTAACATAGTTGTTTAAATTAGATTTAACAAATAATAAAAGAAACATGATATATGAGAATAATTTTGTTTACATATTCTCCATTCTCTTTTCTTCTGAAAGCTACTAATTTATTTTCTTCTTTCTTTCTTGAAACTTCCAAATAATAGAAAGATTAAAAATTGTCATATTTTCGTTCCACTCAAGATCCTTTCTTCCCTGACCTGTTTCATCAAACCAAGCAACAGATTAGTGTGATACTATTTAAATTCTTCCTTCCACAGAGGCTCCAAACTGACAAAGAAATTAATTTTGATCGCTTTTTATTTCCTCCACAATTTTCGTTTCTATTTTCCATAAAACGGAATACAGCATTGAAATTAAAGCCTTGCCTAACTGTTCCCTTTGGACTCTAAACCAGTCCTTAAAGTAATCCTTCCTATAAATACCTGGTTTGTTCAATTTTAACTTAAGAATTATATTATACATACATTTAAATGAAAAAAGAAAAACACCAATTATATTTCGTGTAAAATATGATTCTTAAGAACATGGTGGTAGCAGAGAATTAGCATAGCATGTAGCAGAGTAACAGAGAAGTATTAGTAACACTTTTCATCTCCTACCCAATTGGCCTTTCCCTTTGGACCCGTTGGCCCCTCCTCACCATAAAGCTCCGTGGGAAACAACTCAAACAAATTCACCACAGAAAATCTAATAAACACCGGAAGCATGTCAATCAACTTATCTATTTCAGAACGCGAGTCATACACAATGCTAGGACCCCACTCTCTCATATACTGCAACCAACATGGTTCTTCAATACCAAGATACTCCGCACCAACAACCTTGTATCTGGTGCTTGAATCCACACTAAGTTCACTTCTACCTGCTTCATTCCTCACTCCTATTCCAATTTTTGATGCTCCCTGAAGGTAAGTCCCCGGGTGAGGAAAACTTGCATGGCCATGCCTTGATGAATAGACAATTGCTTTGTTTCCCTCAACAAACTCAAGATCGCATGCATCAACCCATTCTCCTCCACTATGCTGAGAAAAGAACACTGACCATAATTCTCCTGTGAAGTTGCTTACACGAAGAGTGAAGTGCTCCCAGTCACCAACATGTTCTCCTATCTTGTTCATCTCAAAGTTCACCAGCCCCACTTTAAGTATGGCAGGTCCGTTGAAGGGACAAAAAACCCACATGGCAATATCAGTAAATGTTCCTCCCAAAGCTGGTTTCACATGTACATACAGTTCTGCACTCTCTATGTTCCCCTTTTTTACATTGTTTCTATCATCATCATCAGTAGGCAAATCTATCCAATAAGCACCATCATTTGTTCCTCCACTAGGTAAGTTTGACCCTTGGTAATCTATTGCTTTACCCTTCTCACTGCCTTTTGAATATACTAGTGCTCCGTTTTTAAAAAACCATTGCACTGATGATGGTAAGTATGTCTCATCAGGGTGGAAGAACACAGTGGGGCCATAATGGTTAATGAGTGCATGAATTTGGTTTATGTTTGGCATGGCATGTAAGGTGGAGTCAAGATTCTTCAAGCAAGCAATATCTGCCACTTGATTAGAGTCAGAATAGGTGCTGCAGAAGAATGTTCCAACCGAGACACCTTTACCCCACATACCTCTTTCACAAGGCCGTGTGTTCCAAACCTTGGATGAAATTTTGGAAAACTTTGAGTTCATAGATAGTAATAGATCACAAGTCTCACATGTTTCTGTCAAATCTGCTCGCACACATCTAATTTCTTCAACTTCAGGCTCATCTGGTTTGCTAGAGACTACTATGCCCATGGCTTTGTACCCCACAGGAGGGTTTGGCAACCAAAAATAACCACATCCATCATGTGGTGAATCAGCACTCCATATTAAGGAGTAGTTAATTGGTTTTTTAAGAGCTGGAGATTCAGGTTCAGGAAAAATTTCACTAGCCACAAGAACATGTCCTCTCAATGGCTGAGCATTGGACTGGCAATAGTGACCTAGGCAAAAAAACCCATCCGGAATCTCCGAAGGTTTGTAAAATGTGAAACCCTGTGATTTAGCATGCGAACTTGTGCAGCTCCAAACTCTCTCAAACTTGGTTATTTTTAAAACTTCTAGTCTTCCAAGGCTTATTCTTCCACTAGCAAAACCACCACCTGATGTCATGTCATTCGCAAGTTTAGATGAAAAATATAATTAGGCCACAAACATTTGATGGAAAAGCAATACAAAATCAAATATATAATTGAAGAAATATTGATATCAAGAATTCATCTTCAATGTCTGTATGGTAGTCAATTTTGCAATAAGGGCGTGTTATTTGATGCATTAATTAAAAGGCAAAGAAACATCCATCAATGGGATCATGAAGAATAAGCTGCAGAAAATAAGAAGTCTCAGTTATAATTATTAGACATTCATAAAGTGGAGTCAGGATAAGAAATTCTAGATGCAGTAGAAGAATAGGCAAGTCAAGTAGTGCTTTGTTTTCCGTAACAAAGACAAGATTTTTCAACCATTTGTTGAAGCAAAAGCAGTATGTAGAGCATTGCCACAGTTTTACCTCCAAGAAAAAAAGGGGAGGGGTTTTCTGCTTCTCTACATTGATTTGTGATTGTGAGACAACATGCAAAATGAAGGACAACCATACAAAACAACATGCCCAATTATTGATTGCCATCAGTTGGACAATTCCAATCAGTATCTAAATTAGTATCACATTAAAGACACTATGTCCACTGCCTTCAGGGCAGGCTGAGGGAAATTAAGATAAGACAACTCAGTACCATATATTATTTCATTTGCAAAGAAATAATTATAATTATATCTTAAAATATTAAGCAAGATGACAAAATAAATATTATTGCAGCAAGAAGGATTATCCATGATTATCAATCAAGAGATACAACATATAAAAGTAAGTTGGTTCTCTCATTTGTTTGGATCAACAAACACTCTTGCATAGATGAGGAGAGAGAGTCTGATAGATGAAAGCATCAGTGGGAGAAAAAAAAAAAAAAAAAAAAAAAAAAAAAAAAAAAAAAAAAAAAAAAAAAAAGGAACAACATGGTCTAACTATATTCTTCAGAATTTGAAACACAAAAAGCACAGACCTTGTGGCCATTGTGGAAGAGGAGCAGGCAGAGAGAAGGGCTCTGGCTGAGAAGGGTAGGATTGAGGAACACTGTTCCACCAAAAACAATCACAACCAAACATCTCTAACACTATCAGCAGAGAAAGTGGTAAAGATGGTTTATTCTTCAGAGTCGTCTCTCCAAAACTCTCAATCAAGAGAGAGAGAGAGAGAGAGAGATTTTTCTTTGGCTCAAGGGAAAACCGGAAAAGACTTGTACAACTTTCCAACATTTATAACTGCGTTGACTAGTAAAAACAAAGAGAGAATAATAAGTGGAATAATCCGAAGCCAAGAGCATTGGAGAGTGGAGAGAAGGAAAACATGGTACATTGAATTTGCTTATTTGCTTCCACTTCCAGGCTTTTGTCTTCACACGACCTTTCTCCCAACGCTGCAACTCTTCAATTATTGGCTCTGTTGCTGACTCATCGTACATATCTCTCATGACCAAATGTTGGAAGAATAACTATTTTCTAATTAAAAATTAGGATTCAATTTTTTTGTTTGAGTATATAATCACTACTAAAGTTACACTTTATCTTTTTAGGTCACAGGTGTTACTAAAAAATCATATCATCTCCTATTTTCTTTTCCCACATATAAATCATCTGCGAGGGTGAACAATACAAGAGAATTGATTAGATTTTTATTGGCACTAACCTAATTGGTAGTTGGTACTGAATTTAATTTTGATGTACAATATATAGATAATAATTTATTTTATATAATTAAATTTATAATAAATAAGTATTTTTTATGAATAATAAATAAATAGTCTTAAATATATAAATTATATTTTAGTTTTATGATAAATAATTTATGTGATAAAAAAATTAATTATTGATAATATTTTAAAATATATATAAAAATAATATATTTAAAGAGATAAAAAGTTAAAATATATAAATAAATATAAATATATATATATATAATAATAATAATTTTTGAATTTTGAAGATAAAATTGGGATGGTATGCACATGGTCCTATATTTAAATTCTAGTATCAGATATTACTTATTATATAATAAATCATTTATTTGATATAAAAAAAATCTATATATGAGAGTGAATGTAAACTTGAGTTAATGGGAAGAGTGAAACATTTACAAAGGAGATAATTATTGTAATTTATATGTGGAGAGTGATTAGAATTTTAAAATAAAATAATTTTAAATACAACAGCATCATCTAAATGTTATATAAAATTAAAATAAAAAACTTACAAAGTCAAATTCTTGTATTTACAAAGCAATACATAAAAAAACATTAATGTAAAACCAAATAAACTAGTATGTTATGTATCGTATAAATATGAAGATGTAAGTTGGTTAAACTATATGTAAACTATATTAGGTGTCAACTAGTTAAATGCTCAATTAGATTTATTTATTTAATTAAATAAAATATTTAAAATTAAACTATTTTAAAGTGAGTTAAATTCAAATCTTGTCGGTTCAACATTAGTAGTTCATGAATAATTCATTTAAAATAAGTTTGATTATTAGTACATTTATTTCAATAAAGATTTTATAAATAAGAATAATTTTAAGATTTAAACAACTTTTTTATTAGTTTTTTTTTTCTTATTAAGAATATTGTTGAACTTATTAAATTAGAAGCTAATGAATTTTGAAAGTTTTCATATAGTGGGGTAAAAATCAAACACAATTTTTCGTGAATAGATCAATTTTATAATATGTGAATGCAAAATATTTAACCATTACACCTTAAATCCTATATAAATTTTTGTTTAGGGTTTGGAAATCAAACACGGAATTTCCCATCGTGTTATCATATTTACTAATTTTTTCTTTGTCTAACTGTTTACTAATTTTTTTTTTTATCTACAAACATTCAACTTTGTATCAAAATTTAGATATATTACTTAACCAAGTGAGTTGGGCCCTTGATTATTTACAGGCTGTTTAATTGTTAGTGAAAATTTCCTGCCAACGTGGACCATAATGAAGAGGATGATCCATCAGGAAAGAAAAATCAAATGAAGTGGATCAAGCGAAAACAAAACAACAAACAGAAAAGGCGATTTGTGGGTCACAAATATGAACTGATTGTGGGTGTTACTATCAATTTGGTCCCACCATTAAGCCTCTGTTTGTTATGTTATGAAAGCAGATAATCCTAAAAAACCACGTTGGTTTCCGCGGTAAGAACTATGTGGTGCTTGCTCGTTTGATACTCAGAGCATAAGTGTATTTAAAAATATGATTCGTTAGATTTAATATTTATAGAAATATTATAAATTTAAAATAATTGAAATAAAAAAAAAAAATAACTGTTATCATAAATACACATCTTATTTTGTAAACAGTTTCAATCAGCTAAAATATCCAATTATAATTTATCTCAAACTTTTTTTTATAGGAGCTCAAACATGCTCTAAAATCTTAATACAAGACTAATATATGCATAAAAAAAACTTAAATGGGTTTATTTATTTAACTGTTACTCTGTTAGTCCGCTTTAATTAAATATTTTTTTATATATAATTTCAGTTATTTATTTTAATATTTAATTTTTTGAAAAAGTAACTATTTTTTTTTATATTTTCATTTAGGTTTGGAAGCTAACTTCCACCAGTTAGGAATGTAAGTGGATTGAAATTAAATTCTAAAATAAATTTATTAATTTGACATTATTATCAATTCAAAAAATAATCTGCTAAGAAAACTAGCTTTCCTTACCTCGGTGCGAGAATCCGAGCTCTGGGAAGAAGACGACTTGAACGAAGAAGAAAATGGGAAGAAGGAGAAGCTTGAGGAAGCTCCGCACGGCTCAGCAAGAAACTCAACACCACTACTCAGCTCCTAAGATTCACCACAGCCACCCAAGATCAGAGAAAAAGGAAAATGGGGAAAAAAAGAGTGAAATGAGAAGTGAATGAGAGAAGAGAGTGAAAGAGAGTCGGGGAGAGAAAAATAAGGAAGGGGGTCTCACAAAAATATGATAAATAACATTCAAGTGTAGATAAAAAAGAGTAAAATAAAATTTAAAATAAATATATTATATTATTACAAGTGACACTAAATATTATTATAAATAAATTATCATTTAAATATTATTATAATTATTATTATTATTATATATGACTAAGTTGGATCGGGTCAATAATAAGTTAAAAATATAAAATTTATTACTTATTCTATATAATATCGAGTTTTGATCGGGTTAAACTAGATCTGATCTAAATATTAAAAAAAAATCCAATCCAAACTCATTTAATTAATTTAGATCAATTCAGATTCGCGAATTATCTATATTCACTTGCACCCTACCAAATAACTTGTGAACCACCTATTTTATTTTATTGGCCGTTTCACTTTGTGGGAAATAAGGACCCTTCAAACCTCTAGCAAAAATAAATGCACTTCAATCATGTTGAATGTACTTCAACCTGCAGTTATATAGCATTCACATTTACATAATTGCTGAAATAAAATGTTTTTAACTTAACAAGTGAATGACAAATTTTTTTAAGAAGTGTATGATTATCTTAAGTGATTAATAATTATGTTACCTTCATAAATTGAGATATTTTAAAATAGTTATTTTTTAATGAATTAAAAATGTAATTAGTTGCCATGTATTTATTTTTTCTTATTAAAAAACATTAAAAAAAACTGGTATATTTTTTTCTTAACATGAGTTATCTCTCTTCTTTAATCCAATTCAATGTTTAACCACAAAGGAAGATAACAGTGAACTTACATTGTAACGAAGGTAAATAGATATATCTTTTCATTTTAATTAAATTATTAGTATATATTTAAAATACTATATTTTATATATTTTTGAATTTTATATTAAATATACTAATAATTATTAATCCTGACATTTATATTTTTTTCTTTGTATAATGATAATAATAATAATAATAATAATTTCTTAAAAATTTTGTTACACTAATATAGAGTCTTGTATTATAGATGACAAAGGTGCTTACTTGAGTGTGTTTGTCGGTTGTTTTGACTCATGCTCTATTGTATTTGTCTATACAGAATTACATGTCATTTCAAAGGGTCTTATCCTCCACGCACTTCCAATTATCCAATTATTGTAACATCTACCTCCAGTTCACTTTCATCACCGCACCATGTCTTACTACTAAAAAATCTACATAATTAACAAAAATTTTAATTTTATTGAAAAGCCTTGTAAAGACAGAGAATAAATATGAGCGAGAGGAGAAAATGAAACAAATAATTAAAAAGGTATATCCATCCACATCCTAACTACGTGGATATCTTATGCATGCATGCGATTAAAATACAACAATTTTCTCACGTGGCTAGTCAATTATAGGAGTTATCGAAAGTGTGTTCAGAGGCAGAGCCACCGGTGACTCGACCCTTTCCACCACCGTTCCTCTTCCCGCGGTTCCCCCCGCCGACAGTAATCGAAATCTCAACCCCAAACACCGTCCCGAAGCACGAACATGGCCCGCCGCGCCCCCCACCACGCCGCGGCGTCTTACCAACGCGCTTCGGCGTCGGCGTCGGCGTCGGCTTCAGCATCTGCCTTTCATCCTCGTAATCCTCATAAGCCGGAGATAGTTCACTCCTCCACCTCTGAATCTTCGTGCTCATCCCCTCCGTCGCAGTACTGTTACTCTCCGACCACCCATCAAGCGTTGAACTCTCCGCCGTCCCCGGCGGAGGCGGCGGCAGCATGGGGTAGCACCCCTTCATAATCTTGGCCGCCACCACCGATGGCGAAGGCCCCGCGGCGTTAAAAAACCCTCCTTTCCGCACACCAACTTCCGAGTCCTCCTCATCGTAGCCATAGCCATTGTGTGCGTAATCGTTGACGGTGGAGTCGTTATCGTCGCTCCGGCTACGTTGCATCGTCAAAAGCGAGTGTTTTTCGCTATAACTACAAGTGTCGTCGTCCGCGGTAGAGGAGCTGAGTTCGGAATAGAGGGGCATGCTGCGCATGGTGCTGTCGAGAAGCGCGACTCCGATGTTAAGAATCCCTTGGGGCCGACCCGAGGGTCGGCGAATCTGAAGCGCCACGAAGCTGAGCTTCGGTTTTCGGTTCGGAGGGAGGAAGTTGCTGACGAGGACACCCACAGTTCCGATGAGGACCTCACGGAGCCACACGGAGGAATATATTTCGATCATGACAATGGAGTTTTTTTCCGAGTTTAGAAAGTTGTTGTCTACGCGGAACACGAACTTCTCGTTCCACGTGGGATTCGTGTCCCCCTCTACGTCTGTTTGGGTCACGAGTTTGCGGTCTGGGTGGACCCAGGCCACCGCGTAGGCCCGAACGGGCTTGGAGACTTGGGCCAGGTCTTGGGCCGATATGACGTTGATTTCTAGAAGCTGATATGAGGGTGGAGCCTTCGCCATAATGAATGGTGTAATAGCAAATTCTAAATTGTTAGGGTGGTCGGTCACAATCAAATTCACACACTAACCCCTCCTAAATTGCTTCCAGATGTCTCTTCCTTTCCTTCTTTATTATATTGAAAATATTTGGCCTGATGGAGAGGTGTCATGCGTCTCCCTTACAGACTGCATGGCCAAAGAGGTTATTTTGTTTTAACCAATGACAATGACAACAGAGACTTTCCTAACTGACCCAATTAATATTTCTAGTATTTTGAACCAGTCTCATCCTTGGTTTAAGAAACTTCTTGAATTTCGTAATTTTTAAGGGATGCTGTTGGTAGAATAGGATTAATGATATGTATGTACAGTATGGTTTTAACTGGTCTGGCTAAGAATGCAGAAGGGGTTGTCTTGCATGCGTAACGGCTCCAATGTCTTCAACAAATTTGGTTTTTCACCCCTATTTCAATCTGACGCAGATTGGTTTAAGATTCGGCTGATTCTGTTGGGAATGATGCCATGCGTCAAATTAATTAGGCTTCAAATAAATAGTATGCCTGAAGTTTAAAATATGAATTCAATGTAATTAAAATATTTTAGTCTAAAACATAAATTTAGGCATAAAGTATAAATTTAATCAATTCAACAATTAAATTTGATTTATTTTTACAGGAGTGGTGATAAATAAATTATTCTTTTCCCTTCAAGACTAAGATGATTTTTAATGATAAGTAATGTAATGAAAACAAATAATTAGAATAAAATCTTTCTATATATATGTGTATTCCGCATGTAAAAATAAATATTAAAATTTAAGAATTAATTTCAAGTTAATACTCCCTCTAAACTTATAAATAAACAAAATGATTAATTTCACATAGATTAAGAAATTTAATTAAAAATATTTAATTTAATTTTTATAATTTCATATAAAATATGTATTATATTTTTTTAAAATATCTCTCAATCACATTTATTGTTAATAATGCTTTTATTTGTCATCTTGAAAACATCTCTAAATTAAGAGTGTTAAATAAAGTTAACTTGATTATAACTTAAATATATTTTAGTGCAACAAATTTAAGCATTTTTTTTTATTTACATATAAACTTAAAGGGAATATCCAAAAAGTTTAATAGTCACACATTGTTACTATAAAAGAGTTATGCATAATAAGAAATCATTATTACGATGAGTTTTAAGATAATTATTGTTAAAATCAATAAATTATCATAAAAATTATTTGTAATTAGATGACTATATAAAACTATTTCACACTATATATTTTTGTCTCATACTAAACAATAGTAGTTATCAAAAATCCATTAATAATTTAAAATAATATCAATTTATCATAATTCAAAGTGCATGCACACACATAATGTAACACTCTTAGTTTTCTAAAATAATTAAAAAGGTATTTTAATTAATTAAATAACATTTTATAAAATAATTTAGAAGTTTTAAAAAAAATATGAGAGTTTTTAATTAATAAATAAATGTTTGTGAAATTATTTTGTTATAGAAAGTATTTCAAAAAATTATGTGTTTTAATTATTTATTTAATTTATTATATTTTGGAAATATGTTTTTATATTATGGAATATTTAATTATATTTATTTTAAAAAAATAAAGCAAATAGTCATTTTATTATAAAAGAGGGTTTTTGAGGATAAACAATTTACACCTTCTAATTTTGTATGTTTACAATTTTTTCCTTCTTCTTAAGAACTGCCTAGAGATCTAGAAGGCAATCAACTTGTAAACTTACATTCGTATGTGAGTATTCATCAATGTAAAGAGGAATGATTAGTCTCCCTTTAATGTATGAATTGTTTGTTGAGTGGTGAGATTAGCTTAAATCTTTTTTTTTTTTTGTTCCTGTATATTGTGAGGGAGAAATCTCATTTTTGTTGTATAACTTGTGAATTTGCATTTTGTGTTCTTCTTACTATTTTATTTGTGATGATTGATAACTATGTGTTCAATTTCGTGTTAATTAAAGTAATTGTGAATCAATGGGTGCTTATAGTTTCTTTAAGAACCCTAAATATACAATAAAGTAAATTAGTAAATTACAGTGTTGTTTTAAACATTCACTTTTGTTGAAATTTAGTAATATGATAAGACAAAAGGTTCAAATAATCGAAGTATGTATTTGATGAATTACGTCACAGGTGTGATTAATTAGTCATGATGTGATGGGTCTTATATTGACTCCTTTTTAGATATACCAAACCAGTCATAGGCGTGATTGACAAGTGATAGTTATGATTGGTGAGTCATGGATATAATCAACGAGTCGTGTTATGATCATAGTTAGTGAGTTATAACTATAAGATGTTTCTTCCTTTTTTTTCTCTTTCCTTACTTATCTTTTCTCTCTTTTATCACCTTAGTAGCTCAAGTTAATTTATAAGTTTGAAATAAGTTGACAATGATTAGCTTAAGGATACAATTTAGATATTAGTAATGATAAATAAGTAATTGAGTTAATGTTCAACAATTATAATAGTGACACATATTTTTATATTGATTCATAATATTGATAGTATTACGAGAATGATTAAGTGATTAGTTAAATGATTAATTTAAGATTTGATCTTAAATATCAGGACTTGTTAATCGATGTATACATGATAGTGACATGATGTTTTTGTATGTGTGATAATAACATGTGTGGATTATGTGATGGTCATGTGATGTGAGGTCAAAGCTAAGTCTTAACAAAGATAAAGTCTAAGCATCTGGACTTAATAGTGATATGAGTAATGTGTATTTGTGATGTTATGATAATGTGATAATTGCATCGAACTTTGTGTGACATGTATCATAAGCATAAACTGTTTTTATGATGGATATATATGAAATATGCTACCACATAAGTTTGAATGATATGTGTTTTATTCACATAAACTTAAATATAATATCTCAATATATGGTGTTTCGTAAATATTTGATTCAATTATGAGTCATAATTATTTTTTAACTAAATTTATGACGCATTAAATAAAATAAACAGTCATATAAATTATACTATAAAATAATCAATCAACATTAATTATAATATTAAAAAAATAATTTTTATAATTATAAAATAAACAATCATATACATCATATTATGAAATAATTAAAACATTCATTATAATGTAAAAAATAAAATCACATAAATCATTGCACGGGCAACTCTGTGCATATGCTAATTAATTATAAGAATTTTTCAATATAAAAATATTGGTCCATTTTAATTTAAGTAAATGAAAACTTCATGTTTAAGTTGAATTAAATTTCAAGTTTCAAATTATTTGTTAATTTTAATTTTTTATCTATCAAAATGTTATTAAATTATTTTAAATTGATATTGTATATAATAATTAAATAAGTAGTGTTCATATTTAGATCAAAGTTATCTATTTAATAAATAGATATATATCATAATTTGGTCAAAATTATTGGTTCATTTTTAAAAATTAAAAAAATTGAAGAAAAAAAAACAATTAGACCCATAATGATCTTTTGCTTAAATTCTTAAAAACAATAATTAACTTAATAATTTTTATTTTCAAAAAATGTATTACTTTGTAGTTTTATATATTTTAAAAAAATTAATATAACTTTTATAAAATATTATTTTATAATTAAAAATCATAAATAAAAATCATGATAAAAAAAATGTTATAATTAATGTTAGATGAATTTTTTCATGGTATGATTTATATGATTACTTATTTTATTTATTGTACCGTCAATAAGATATTTAGTTGAAAAATAATATGACTAGTACATAGTATTTACAAAACATGACATTTTGAGATATCATATTTGAACTTTTTGTGATTTAAAGAGAACATATTAATATTTATTATAATGTGTTGTTTGACAAATATTTTCTTTAAAAAATTAATATTAATAAAAATAAAAATAACAAATGTTGTTAATATATCAAATGTTGTGAATGAACAATGATAATTGTTTGAACTCTAAAAACCTTTAACATGTTATTGACGTTATTGACTCTTTGTCTAATAATTATAGAGACCTATCTTCCCTAACAAAAAGTTACAATATTAATATAATTATTAGTTTATACAAGTAATATATACAAGGACTAGATTTGAACTTAATATTGTCAATATAATATTAATGAGTAAAATATTAAAATATATAAATTATATTTAAAATTTATGATCAATAATTTATATTATAGTATAAT